GGTTCTCCAACAGCAGCTTGGAGGAGCGGGTCCGGGCGTGTGTGTGTTTTGCAGCCCTAGTAAAATGTCATGCTCCGAGTCAGGGTGGCCACCTGCAGTGGGGCCTGGTGGCACTTCACACAGGCACTTGAAATTCCAAGGATGCCACTCCCTGGAGGTCAGGATCCCCTGCACTTCAAACTAGACCCAGAGAAAGACAGTCCCTTTACCCAGCAGCCCCCGCTGAAGGCCAGGCCCGTAAAACACAGCACTGGGCAGTTCCGGCTTTGATTTCCTTTCTCCAGCTACAAAACTGCGGACGAAGCAAGTATTTGTTTGAGTTTTACTATGTAAATAAAGTCTTTTATCAGGGCCTGAGCCTGGGAAGAAAACAGCCCTCCATGCAATCCTGGCCATGCCGAGCATCGGGCCCCACAGGCCAGGGTCTTCAAAAAGAATGAAGCGTGAGCTTTAAAAGCTCAACTTTTTCCAAAGCAAAGGTGACACACAGTTAACCTAGCGAGGGTGATGTTGCATCCAGGGGTCAGCTGGTAGTCTGGAGGTGTTTTTCTGTCTGTCACACCTGGAGATGGGATACCACTGGGCAGAGGCCAGGGATACTGCTAAACATCCTCCAAAGTCCGCGACAGCCCACAGCAGAGAATGACCCAGCCCAGAATATCAACAGTGTCAAGGTTTAAAAATTGTCATCTAATGGATGCGAGAGGGTTACTCAATGTGGCAATCCCACAATGTTCCTTTTTTTTTTTTTTTTAATCCTCACCCGAAGATATGTTTATTGATTTTCGAGAGAGAGAGAAACATTGATCGGATGCCTCCCACATGTGCCCCAACTGGGGATCAAACCTGCAACCTAGGCATGAGCCCTGACCGGGAACTGAACCCACAACCCTTCTGGTGTATGGGGACGAGGCTCCAATCAACTGAGCCACCTGGTCAGGGCTAATCACAAAGCTTTTTAAATGCGAAAATAAAAATCAATGAGAAAAATTACTGTCTAATGAGCCCTGAAGATTTTTCTGTAGCTATACAGGGAAAGAAAGACTCAAAGTTCGGATTCATCCAAATTCTGGTGGTGAAACCATTGTCCTCAGTCTGCATCACAAAAGTCTATTTCCACTCTTTTAAGTGGTTAGACATGGACACGCTTCCCTTCATCCTTTTACAGTGGGATAGTTAGTTACCAGCTGTTGAACTGTCAGCCAGCATCACTGGTAACTAACCCAGGAGAGAAGAGGTATGTGAAACACTGTCAATACCACGCAAAGTGTGCAGGTTCGACCATGCACGTGTACACTTACATACAAGTGTACCTAAAACTTTGCCCTGGCCACTTTGCCTCAGCGGTTAGAGCGTTGGCCCACGGACCAAAGAGTCACGGGTTCGATTCCGGTCAAGGGCACATACCTGGGTTGCGGCTCACTCCCCAACCCTGGTTGGGGTCATGTGGCAGGCAACCAATGTGTCTCTCTGACATCAATGTTTCTCTCTTTTTCTCCCTCCCTCCCACTCCATCTGAAGATAAATGGAAAACTATCCTTGGGTGAGGATTTAAAACAATTAATTTTTTAAGAAACTTAGTACAGAAACCCCAAGCTGCTTCCATCCTAAGCAAAGGAGCCACAAATCTCCAGTCACCCTGAAGCATCTATTAAAAACCAAGCAGCAGTTTGAGGAGGGACATCTCAGATCAGAATCACACGCATTTTATTCTGCAAATCCTGGAGCACAGTCCAGAAAACTGTGCACTCACTGCTACCAGCCCCTCCACAAAGACTGTCCCCCCAAAACCTCAACAACTACCGTGGGAGCTAACCACCAGGCACAAGCGTCCCCGTGAGCCCTGAGAAGGCCCGCTGCGTGCCCCGGGGGTCACTGCCCACCTCCTTCAGTCTCCACCTAGCAGCCTCTTGGACGGGGAGGGCAGGAGGCCACTCGGGTTTTTTAGAACTCGGGGTACCTGCTTGCCAGGTGGGTACTAGATTTATCAGGGTGATCACTTTGTAACTTACAGAAATGTCTCATCACTGCGTTGTACAGCTGGAACTAATATGATATTGGATGTAACTGTGATTGGAAAACGATAACAACAAAAAACACTATTGGGGAAAAAAAGAACTTAGGATACCCATAAAAACGAGGAGGTGCTTTAGGGACCCTTTATCCAACTTCTGGTAAAATAAGTGAATTTTCAAGTGACTTTCAGCCCAGCTGGTGTGGCTCAGTGGTTGAGTGTCAACCCTGCACCAAGAGGTCGCAGGTTCGATTCCCGGTCAGAGCACGTGTTCAGGTTGTGGACCTGATCCCCAGGGGGGTGCATGCAGGAGGCGGCCAGTCCATGTTCTCTCTCATCGATGTTTCTATCTCTCTCTCCCTCTCCCTTCCTCTCTCTCTCTAATAACAATAAGGAAAAAAATTTTTTTAAAACAATGAGAAACTCCATTTTAAAAAAATAAAGTGACGTTCAGCTTTCTCACACTGTATAATGCCAAAAAACAAGACTTCACCTTAAGTAATGTTTTTTTATTGATTTTAGAGAGAGAGGAAGGGAAAAGTAGAGAGAGAAATGTCAATGAGAGAGAACATCAATTGGCCCCCTCCTACATGCCCCCCACTGGGGATCGGGCCCACAACCTGGGCATGTGCCCTGACCGGGAATCGAACTGGTGACCTCTTGGTGCAGGGTTGACGATCAACCACTGAGCCACACCGGCCGGGCTTAAGTAATGTTTTACAACTTCTTCCATCTGCTTCCAAGTCAAATCAGGAACATACAGGGTGGACAAAAGTAGGTTTATAGTTATAAATACACAAAACAGCTTATTCTTGCATTATGACTTATTAATTATTGTATGATTTTCCATACAAACTGTAAACCACCTTTTGCCCCACCGTAAATGTTGTATTGTGTACCTTTTCTTAAAAAAAATGCTAAAGTTCTGAGTAATCTACCCAGTATCTTGGTTAACTTTTACCATCAGGAATGCCCTGTAAAGCCTTTATTAAGAAGATACAGGCGCCCTGGCCAGTTTGGCTCAGCGGTTAGAGTGTCGGCCTACGGTCCCGAGAGACCCATGTTCGGTTCCCACTGAGGGCATGTACCCCGGTTGCAGTTTGTCCCCGGCCCTGGTTGGGCCGTGCAGGTAGCAGCCACTTGATGTGTCCCTTTCACGTCGATGTTTCTCTCTCTCTCTCTCTCTCGTCCTCTCTCTCCCTCCCACTCTATCTGAACAAAAAAATAGAAAAACGTCCTCTAGTGAGGATTAAAAACAGAAGATACAGGCAAGCCTTGGCCAGGTGACTCCATTGGTTGGAGCGTTGTCCTGTACACCAAAAGGTTGTGGGTTTGGTTCCTAGTCAGGACACATACCTAGGTTGTAGGTTCAATCCCCAATCTGGGCGCAAACAGGAGGCAACTGAAACCAATCAATGTTTCTCTCTCTCCCCTTTGTTCCCTCTCTCTTTAAAAAAAAAAAAAAAAAAAGTTGATACACAAGTATATACATATATTTTTTTTTTGGCTCAGCGGTAGAGCATTGGTCCAAGGACCAATGAGTCTTGGGTTCGATTCCAGTCAAGGGCACGTACCTCGGTTGTGGTTCGTCCCCGGGCCCTGGTCAGGGGTCATGCAGGAGGCAACCAGTAGGTGTGTCCCTCTCACACAGATGTTTCTCTCTCTCTCCCTCTCTCCTTCCCACTCTACCTGAGGATAAATAGAAAAATATCCTCAGGTGAGGATTAAAAAAAAAAGGTACAGGCAAAATACACTTTAATATACAAATACACTGGAACAGTGCCCTTGCTGTGAAGGTGTACAATGGCCGCCCACCATCTTTTCAAAGAAGCCAGTTCACCATAAAGTCAGTGCATTCTAAACAGATCCCTCTCCAAGTCCCCAGATGTACAAGTATAAAAATGAGAGAAAATATGGGGAAAATAAGTCTGGTGTCCCATTTGCTATTTGAACAACACAGCCACACCACTTCCTGGAGGAACTGGTGACCGGGAGGGGTGGGCTAGCCGTCACCAGATTTCTTCCTGCAGAGGTGAAGCCTAAAAGCCCAGAAAACCGGTAGGTCACCTTCAAAAGCTTCCAGTAGCCAAGGATTTTTACACTGTAAAGGGAACTTTGTCCCTAGGAATGACCTGGCCCAGCCCTTCCCCAGTAAACTAACCAATCCACACTTTGAACCAGTAGAAAACAAGACGATTCGTTTGCTGTTTCCGTGTTTTTACAGGTTTGTACAGGTTCGGCTGGTCCATTTCAAGGTAGGTTTTCTGTTTAGGGACAGGAGAATTCGGTTCTAAAGCAGCCCCTTTCGCCCACCCCACAGGGGCAAATCGCATTCCTGATGAGACGCATTAGCAGTTCCTTATTGTGGGAGTTGGAACCCCTGTTCCACAGACAGCTGAAAAGTTTCTGTACGGTTCTGCAGGTCTCCAGAGCGCCAAGGAACTGGAGGCCGAAAGTCAGTAAATATTGATGGGCTGATGGGAATCGAGAAGCTGGGCTGGTGGCAGCTGCTGGGCTGGGTTTCTTACTGATAAGGGTGCAGGTCCGAGGGGGGCAGAACCCCGGATCCACAGAGGCACACGCCGGTGGGACGGCTCCGTCCACCCCTGGGCACGTGGGAGCGTTTCTCCCCGACCTCTGGGCAGCCCCACAGGTGCAGGCCGCTGCTGGCGAAACCGGGAGGGACAAGGGACCCTGCCGGGTTTCTTCCCGGAGGGGGAGGGGAGGGGACCCGGAACAGAAGCCATTTAAACTCTGCCCGGCGCCGGGAGCCAGCAGGGCTGGAAGCTGACACAGAGCGGCGGGGGTGGCGCCCGGACCACACACCTATACGTGTCCCGGAACCCAGCTCCCCACAGGTGACCCGCGCAGACGCGCGCCCTGGAGCCGGGGGCGCGATCGCTCCGCTCCCTCCGGTGCCCCCACCCCCTCCAGGCTCCCCGCCCGGCTGGGGGCTGTCACCGTGTGGGTCCCGCGGTCGCCCTACCTTGGTGATGACCAGCGGCTCGCCGTGCTCGCGGCCGCCCTTCAGGGTGAAACCCCACGGGGCGCCGCCGTTCAGCTGCACCTCCACCAGGCGCCCGCCGTCGGCCGTCCGCGCCTCGGCCTCGGCCAGGCGCTCGGGCCGCGCGCGGGGCTCGGTGCCCTCCATGGCGCGGGGTGCGCCGGCTGCGAGGCCCCTGAGCCCCCCGGGCCCGCCCGGCCCGCGCCCATGCACTCCGGGAGCCCCGGCTGGCAGAGGGCGAGGAGACGCCGGGCGCCCGCCCTGCCGCCGGCCACTGGCCAACTTGCGCTGCAACTTGAGAGGAAAGTGCCGGCCGGGCCCGGGAGGGAGCCGGGAGGGCGGGCGGGCGGCCAGCGGGGAGGGAGGGCCCGGAGGGGGCGGGGCGGTAGGGCGGGGCGCGGAGCGGCGGCCGGCACGCTGGGGGCTCGCGCGGCTCGGCGGGCAGGGGGCGGGGCGCGCTCGGGCCCGGGGAGGTGCCCGCGGAGGGGGGGAGGGGCGCCGGGGCGCGCGCTCGAGGTTCCCCGGCTGTCCCGGGCGGGGAGGGGGCGCGCTCGGGGTTCCCCTGCTGTCCCGGGCGGGAGGGGGCCGCTGGCCGCGGAGGGGCGCCGGGGCGCGCTCGGGGTCCCGCGCTGCGCCGGGGGGAAGGGGGCGCGCTCGGGGTTCCCCTGCTGTCCCGGGCGGGAAGGGGGCGCGCTCGGAGTTCCCCTGCTCTCCCGGGCGGGGAGGGGGCGCACTCGGGGTTCCCCTGCTCTCCCGGGCGGGGAGGGGGCGCACTCGGGGTTCCCCTGCTCTCCCGGGCGGGGAGGGGGCGCACTCGGGGTTCCCCGGCTGTCCCGGGCGGGGAGGGGGCGCACTCGGGGTTCCCCTGCTCTCCCGGGCGGGGAGGGGGCGCACTCGGGGTTCCCCGGCTGTCTGGGCGGGGAGGGGGCGCGCTCGGGGCGCGCTTTGCTCGCCGGGGGCCGGGGCGGCCGGGGCTAGTGGCGCGAGGCACCGCCCCTCGGCCCGCGCGGGCGCCGGGGGCCCTGGGACGCTCGGGGCGCGTCAGCCCGCCTCCCGGGAGACCGAGGCGCGGCAGGTGAGGCGGCGGAAGCTCCCGGGCGGGGCGGCCGGAGTCCTGGGCGCCTCCATCTTGGAGCGCGCGGCGGGCCCCGCGCCGCCGCCTTTGTTGGCGCGGACCCGGGCTGCGGGCGGCCGCGCAGGTGAGGCCGGAAGGGGACGCACCTGGCCCCGAGTTCCGGGCCGCGGGACCGCGGGTCCCGGGAGCGCCCCGCGCGCGCCCACGCGGTCTCGGCCCCAGGTGGGAGGGGGCGCCCCCCGCAGCCGCGGGCCAGCGCCGGACCTGTCTCCAGGAGGGACGAACCATCCTCCCAGCAACCCCCTGCAGCGCCCAGCCCAGAGGAGCAGTGGCTCCTTTGTCGGCTCTTTATAGTTACATCGCAGGAGGAAGCTCCCATCCAACCCTGTTCTCACTTTCATGGAATTCTGTCGCGAGGACTTCAGTGTCCCACGGCTGCACCCCTACGAAGGGGAGTGCTGGTCTGCTATGACAGCCCTGCCCTGTTTAAATTCCCGTAGAAGTCTGGAATAAAGAGGTGCCTGCATTGGTCGGGATTTGCATGCTTTGCCAATAAGCGATCTTTTATTGCTAGACGCTGATGAACACCTGTTTCCTCAAAGCAGCTCCATCCGGGGACTTTTCGCAGGTGGGGACGCTGGGAGTAGGCGGCCAGGACAAAGACGGAACAGCGCCGGACAGACTCTGAGAGCCCGGGCCCTTGTCTGGGCTCCGCCACTGCAGAGCCAAGAATTTCAGCTCCGGTCTTCAGCGCTCGGGAGGGATCTGCATTCCGTGGCGCATCTGGGTGACTCATCCAGGCTATTGAAATAAGGGTGCAGCCTCCCCTGGCGCCTGTCCTGTGGCTGAGCGGTGCTTACAGCCCCAGGAATGCCGTCCAGGCGACAGGGTCCCCAATGCCTTCCTTCCGTTAAAGCAATGAGCAGATTTTTCAATCGCACAGAACTAAATACACACACACACACACACACACACAGGAGTGCGTGTAAACTGGGGAAGTAGTGCATGTTCCACTTCTGCATTCGTTGGTCGATTCTTGCACGTGCCCTGACCCCCTGACCCCCTGACCCCCTGACTCCCTGACTCCCTGACCCCCGACTGGGGATAGAACCAGCAACCTTGGCGGATGAGGATGATGCTCCAACCAACTAGGCTACCTGGCCAGGGCCAGTTACTGAGGTTTTTGTTTTGCTTTTAATCTTTACATTAGGCATCCCTCCCCTAGTTCGCATCATTTGAATATTTATAAGGCATCATTTGAATATTTATAAGGCTGCTGTGTATATTGACCATAAGTGTTCTGAAGGGACTGGACCTTGTCCTGTGTGGCCTGCTGAAAGGTAGGTTCCGCCCCTCGGAACCACATAAATCCTTTCACTGACTTGCAGTTATAGAATTGAGCATATCCACCTGTGCTACCGTCACACCTGGACTGCTGCATCTCGTCCGGTGTCTCATCACAAGACCCCATCAAACATCTTCGGAAAATCTCGGAGTCTTGTGACTGAAGCGTCACTGCTGTGTACCAACCTTGGGCCCTTTTGGAAGAGTTTAGTATGACGTGGAACCACTTGGACTTCCAGAGGTGACGGCTTTCTTTTCTAAGAACTCACAACACAGCCAGAATTTCCCAGAGCACCGAGTCTGTCAGCATCAGCTTCGGTTTTTTGGGGTGCACCCTAGTTCTGCGGGGCTTCTGGCTGTCCTGCTCTGGACACAGGAAGGTCGATATAGAGTCCTCAGGACGCAGACAGAACCCTGTGAGTTCCTAGGCATTCAAGAGCTTCGGGTGTGTGAGCTGCTTTTTCCAATCCGGCTTCTTGCCTTTGATAGAAAGTAGGTGAGCCTGGCCGGTGTGGCTCAGTGGTTAGAGCGTCGGCCCATGGACCAGAGAGTCCCAGGTTCTGTTCCCGCTAAGGGCACGTCCCTCGGTTGCAGCTTGTCCCCGGCCCCGGTTGGGATCATGTGGGTGGCAGCCAGTCAGTGTGTCTCTCTCACATTGATGTTTCTCTCTCTCTTCCTCCCTTTGTCCCTCCCGCTGCATCTGAAGATAAATGCAAAAAAGTATGTCGAGTGAGGATAAAAAAAAAAGTAGGTGAAATTCAAGCGACTTCAGCTTTCACTTGATCAACAGTGAATGAATTGATCAATGAATAAAATGTACATGGGGCCAACCATCAGCTGTCCTCCATCGCTGAGCCTCTACGGAACAGAGCTCAGACCGTTTTAGTTTTTGTTTTTGTTTTTATAATGGCCGGTAAGGGAAAGCCAGCAAAATGACTTGGCTGTTAGGCACCAGTGTCTATCATCTGGATTTCTAGAAGCTCTTATTGTAAACATTGGAGTTTATCGAGGCTGCAGATCTTGGGCTCATAATAAAACCCAAAGGCTGCCCAACCCCCCTCCCACACACACACACACATACACACACACCTGCCCTCTCTCACCTCCTAAGGGTTAAACCCTGGATCTTGTTGTTAGTTGAAATATCTCTACCCCTCTAGGAGAGAGACTTCCTTCTGTGCAGGGCATTGAAGGACAGACCCCCTGGTCTGCCCCGTGCTGGCACCGTTACTTATTTGTCACCTCACATCTGGAATTAGCACCCGAGGGCCCCGGGCTCTTAGCCACAGCCACTAGGAAATAGTCATTATTGTTCACAGGGAACCTAGTATGTGCCGAGCACATCATGGAAATGGACTCAGGTCTCAGCACAGTTTCCTGGGGTATGCATCACCCCCTTCTACAGAGGAAGAAACTGAGCCCCAGAGAGATTCAATCGCTGGCCTGGGCCCTGGCCGGTTTGGCTCAGCAGTTAAAGCATCAGATCGCAGACCAAGGAGTCTCGGGTTCAATCCGTGGCTCTGGTCCGGGTTCTGAGGGGGGCAACCAGTCCATGTGCCTCTCTCACATCAGTATCTCTCTCTCTGTCTCCCTCGCTTCCACTCGATCTAGAAAATCAACGGAAAAGTGTCCTCAGGCACTATTTGTTAAAAAATAAATAAATAGCTGTCCTGAGGTCCCTGAGCCCAGCCCCCTGAAGGACTGAAGCTCTTCCCCTGGCAGGAGGACCAGTGCCAGCCTGCCTAGTGGGGGGTAGCTCTGACGATGAGTGTTAAAACCCCCCACTATGGTTGCATTACTGTCCACCTCTGCCTTTATGTCCATCAACAACGGAGGGCAGTTTTCGATGGCCCAGTGGGTGGACTCTACTCTGTAAGATGTTTAGACACTTGGGCACATTTTGAGGTTCCCTTGATCTCTGAACACCAAACAGGAAAGGGGCTAAAATCTACTGGTGGGGAAGCTTTGCCTGCAAAACTGCAGCTCCTTGGGGCCTGCTGAGTTCTGTTGTTAGGACAGCTCTCCAAAGGCTGGTGCGTGGCCGGGCCGAGTTGCCTGCTGGCAGCCAGAAGGCACTAAATAAATGGGCTTAAAACATATATATTGTTTTTTTTATCCTCACCCGAGGACATTTTTCCATTTTTTGTTCAGGTAGAGTGGGAGGGAGAGAGAGGAACAGAGAGAGAGAGAGAGAAACATCGATGTGAAGGGACACATCGAGTGGCTGCCACCCACACGACCCACCAGGGCTGGGGACAAACTGCAACTGAGGTACGTGCCCTTAGCGGGAACCGAACCCGGGTCTCTCTGGACCGCAGGCCAACGCTCTAACCGCTGAGCCAAACCGGCCAGGGCTTAAAGCATATTTTTTAATATAAATTTCCACCAATTGTGAATCAATCAATCAATGAAAGGCAAATTGAACCAACTTTCAGAGAATAATCTATAGCTAGTCCAGTTCATGGATACACACACACACACACACACACACACACACACACGTAATACAAATCAGGAGTATTTAAGAGGGAGCAGTTAGTTGGAGCTAAGATTTGAAAAGTTGTTATGTTTTAAAATGGAGTTTTAGAAAGACATAGGCTATTTTTCACTCTGGCTTTTTTATGAAGTAGCCAATGAGCAGGTACTTCTTGAGCGTTGTGTCCACGCCCCGTCCTGGGGAGAGGTCAGGAAAGACGGCAAAGGATGCAGGAAGCAGGGACCATTAACC